CTTTAGAGGGATAATAGAAAAAATATTCTCAGAGGTACCTATTTAGAAAGGAAAGGAGATTATCAGAAATTATTAGAACATTTCCTGGAAAGAGACATCTGCTTCTCAAAATCCCAGATACATCTTGTATATAAGGAAAAAACCCTATGAAGCAAAACATGCAGCCCCATTACAACTCCATAACAGATGACGTAAATCACTGACAAATGAAGTGACAGCCATGTGCGTAGATTCACCTGATACAAACACAGGAAACACATCAATGAGTACCACAGCTAGAAAGAAAATTAAAGACCAATTAGTTTGATTAACAATAACCAAGTTTCTGGGAAAAGTGCACACACACCCACAAATGTGTGACAAAGTTTTATTTTCCCCTATCAACTTCTCCCTTTTGGCTAATGAACAGACAACTAAACTTAAGGCATAAACCCACTAGCACTTAAAAGAGAAAAGAAATACAAATATTGTCAGTGAAACCCCAGAAGCATGAAATAAATACAGAATATCATTTCCTCATTTTACCTGGCTGTATCAACTCTGGCTTCTACCACAGGACAGAACTCCTGTACCTTTACAGCATTCCAGCTGTAATAGAAGTCTTAGCTTAACAATATGAAGATTCTTACATTTCTAACCTACTGTCACATTCTAAGAAACCTCTTCTTAGACTTCAGTCCAAATTTTACATCACACCAGCTTTTTCTCCTAAGAAATACCCAAATACACTGTGTAATCCTTATCACACACTAGCAACAGCTTGGTCAAGCTATCCTTTCTTTAACACACAGACCTCCATCTGTCACAGAGACCTAGAACTGCACATTATGTCCAGTGGATATAGTAAGTCATCCACATCTGCAGCTGCATACACGAAGATGTGTAAAATAGTAATACTTCTGCTTTTTATTTATTTCAAATGTGTAGGAATGTGCTTCTTGTTGATGGAGTAAAAAAATTACCCTTTGCTTCCTTAAAAAGGAAAAAAGCTTAGAAGTTTCTCTCTTCAATTTGGTTAAAAGACGCTTCATAGGACTTGGAGATTTCACCTCAAACTTAAGGATAGCTAACTGGACAGAAGCCAAAAAGTTTCACTTAAGTAATTCACTAGAAAAAGAAGAGAACAAAAGTAAATAGCTTTTGTGAAGTGTTTTAGTAGGAGCAAGAACTTTTTCCTTGGCTCAGTTTTTCTTTGCAAAGAGCTTTGTTATTTTGCCTTTTATTAAAACTTTTTGTTTCTAACACTGTCACAGGAGCCATCTTGCTACTTTTATGCTACTTGAGGCAGCTAAGCTATAAAGGGTATAATACTTGTCTCCAAGAGCTTATAATACCTAGCTCAAAGAGACCAAGTATTACAAATGGTATTGTGCATACAAGTTACTGTCTTTGGAAAGAAGCACTGAAGAAAAAGTGATTTCAGAAAGTAAAATCCTGTGCTGATATTAAGTGAATACTTTCTTGAAATAATTCACAGTTCAAATCCATTATTTACTGGTTTTAACAGTAATTAAAAGATACTTTGCAAATAGACTAAAGCAGCAGAACCTGTTAATCACAGGGCTCGTACTGAAGACAAGCAGTCCAGACAGTGATGTGAGACAATGATCTATAATTGCAGATATTGTAAAATCTTTGCAGACTGACGAAGTTCAACTAATTAAGACTTTAATTCTCCACCCTGGGCTGGGTTACACCACTTACATATGGGATTGCACACTGAATTCACTCAACTTGTTACACTCTGGAACATGACACTGTTTGGTGAAACAAGGCTGAGAATCAAAGTGAAGTCAAAGCCCAAAACACTTTGGGATGTTCTGCCCAATAAAACACACAGCAAGAAACTTAGAGGATCAAGCTCAAGATACTCTAGTCCTAAACTAACACTGTACTACCCCGTGCCTTCTTCAGCAACATGCAACCAATTTAATATCAACAGGTTGGGAAAATGAGAGGTTATAATCTTGAAAGACCTTGCCAAGCCAGAATGACTATTTTTACTATTAGCATGGTGAAAGAGGAAGACAAAAAGTTCAGCTGAGAAGTATTTCTACTTGAGCTGAATTGCCAGTCAGTAAAACCTGAAAAGTTGCTTATCATCTAAGAACAAAGTTTGAAAAAAAATAAATAGCACGTAATAGATGTTGCTGTGAAATGAAAGCATCCCAAGATTTTTAGTATATTATAAACAGAATTCCAATTAAATATAAATATTAAAAAATATTAGCATTAATTTAAAATATTAAAATATATTAGCAAAGAGATTATAGTTACCATTCCTAAATCATGGGACTCCAGTCTGCACTTGGCTTAAAAAAAATCTCAACCACACAAAATCCCTGCCGAACTCTCCTGTTGCTCAGAATATATTGTTTTATCTAAGCAAAGTCTATATATGCTTTGCAGCATTTCTACCTGGAAAAAAAGGAACTTTAAAGTACTCTATTCACCCAATGAAAGAGTATCATACATGCATACAAATGTGCCGCATTTAGAACAGTGCTCAATTCAAAGGTCTTGAAAACCTCTTTCTTCAATTGTTAATAATGATTCTGTGATTTAGAAATGCTCATTTATTATCTGAACATCTGCAGAAAAGTGCAGTTTCACATAAAGTCGCTGTTTTATATAGTTCTGATATAAAAGTTTGAGGAATTTCAGGCTGGTTGAAAGAAAACACAGCTCTTAGTCTTATGCTAATTACTCAACAATGTAACAGCAAAAAGATTCAGCCAAAAACTAGAATATGCATTTGTGCATTCCTGGTGCCCTGTCCAACTAAAGATAACCTTTAGTGAATAGAAATTTACTTTTGTTTGTAGTCTGGACAGTTAGAAGGTAACTGAAATGCATTTTAAGTAGATTCCTTTAAAATAGGCAACATTATACAACAATAAAATTATATTTACTTTATATTTACAATAAAGCTTTATTTACACAGCTCAAAGATAAATGCTAACCTCTCTATCCTTAAGTGTATCTACATTCAAGAGAAATCAAATGTTTTTTCCATATGCTACTTTGCCAACATTTTGTCTCTTCATTACCAGAGGTCCATTTTCATAGCATTTTAAACTTGATTATTCATAGACATGCCTGCAATCACTAACTCAGACCTCTTACCACACAAGAGAATTCAGTATCTTGTATCAGTAGAACTTTCAGGATGATATAATTGCACAAATATCCTTCCGTAGCAGACAAAAATCAAGCTGGAATCTGTTCAAAGACTCCAGATATAAGGAAGAAAATGTTACTGCTAGCAAAGACTATTTGAGGCAGGGATTCATATTGAATTGCACACTGATGTACTCACTGACAGCTGAAGATGCTGCCACCAGAGATGATATCTCTCTCTTCATGTGCACCTATTATCCATCACTGCCTATTTTGTGTACATGATATGTGTGTGCTGACAGACTACAGTGACAGGTGTCCAACTAAAATGTGACGTGAGCAACATGGTGGGAAGAAACCTGGGAGGTTATTATCAGATACAGAATAAAATCCAGCACAACAATACCAGACTGACAGGGTAGAGGAGTTATGTGTGTTTGTGTGTGTATGTGTATGTGTATGTGTATGAATGTGAAAAGAAGAATTTTTCACAAAGCAGAGGTCATGGGTTGCACAAAGACTGATGAACTTTGGAGGGGGTGGTGGGGGGTGTCAGCTTAGACTCCAGCCTGCCCTAGAAAGGGCAAACACGGGCTGCTTCCTGTTCCATAGGCACACATGCTCTCCTTTCCCCCCTAAATCTGCCAGGGGCAAGAAGCAAGGCAGGACGGCTGGGTGTCAGACAACAGTAATCCCTCATGCTTTGTCCATTAGGTAATACAGTGTCATGTTCACATGTAAATATGCAAAACCTTCAGTACTGCATTTTGAGACTGTGTGATAACAGCATGAGCAGAGAAACCTTACGTCTGTGCAGGTCTTTATTGTACAAAATGCAAACAAGCTGTGTCAAACCTCCCTTCCAATGGAGTGCCATGAAAGGAAATGCTTCATATTTTAAAGCTGTCTGAAGTGAGACCAAACCCATGAATGAGACAAACAGGTCAGGCACACATCCCAAAATTTTTCAAAAAGATGTCCTACGTGCCACGTGTACATGTACAGGTAAAGGCGCACATGTAGCTAAATCACGGAGTTAACAACTGTAGACACTTATGCTCAAAGATAAACTACTGGCTTATCCAAAGACAACCAACCAAACATTTAAGGAAACACAATAGATTTTTTAAAATTGTTTTGGTTTTTCATTTGTTTGATTTTTTTTGTTTTGTTTTACTTCTGGTCCAAATTTTCATAAATGGTTGTTTGGAACAGTGAATACCTTATGAATTTCCATTAAGCTCAAAAGATGATCCTACTGGAACATTTTCCTCAGAATGCTTTATACTCCCTAAAGATCATTATGCAATACTGATAAGTAACTCAGAGAAACATTCGGCAGCTATTATATGTTACTGTTACCCTATCAATGCAAGGTCTAATTACAAATAGCCCAAGTATAAACATTACCCAAGCCTTCCCTTTGAAGGAAAGATACCATTTTACAATCCCATGGGAAGTGCATGGCAAGAACTGAAGCTTTTATTAAAATAAAATCAAGTCTGAAGGGGAATCTTGTTGTTATTTCAAATTTACAAAGTAACAGCTTGAGAAAGCTTGGACATTTCTTGTAACACAGCCATGTACCATCATCTCCTAGCACTGTTGAAACAATCATTCCAAGAATATGAGTGTGTAGATCTCTACTGCTTTCTAGATTGATAGACTACTCAGCAGAAATAATTATCAGCTGATATGCAATTAATTATAGCATCCACCTGCAGAGCACACAGCCTGTTTTTCTCTCAACACAGCAGTTTTATTATTCATATTCTAGTAAAATATTTTACACCTAATTGAGCATACAAAGCTCTCACCTAACACTGAGAACCACGAAAAAAAAACAAACCAAACACATCAGATTTACACAACATTCTTACTTTTAGCAGTTCAAAATAATGAAGACAGTGGTAAACAGGGGCGAGGAGGAGCCGGGGTAGAACATACTGAACAGCTTCTTTAAAGCCTTCACCTATTGACTAGAAACAAAATAAGTTTCAGTCTTAAAACAATACATGTACTGAAGCAATAAGACAATGTAATTAACATAGTAATAGCAACAGCATATCTTATTTAAAGGCAAGTTACCTGTAAATAAAATGCTGCTCCTGGCTTTGATAATTGACTTAGAAAATGATCATGAAACCCGGGTCGTAAAATATCTTGTGCATATGATTCATACGGATCAAATGCTAGTTCCTAAAAAGAGATACAGAATAATTTTACAATCATAAAATCCCAGAATGGCTTGGGTTGGAAGGGACCTTAAAGATCTTCTAGTTCCAACCCCCCCTGCCATGGGCAGGCAAGCCATCAGTTTACAAAATTGATTTAACAGCTAAACTTCCACATTTCTTATAGAAAATACTTATCCTGCATAGGAGAGACTTTTCTGCATACTTTTCCCGAAACACTTACAGAAAAGAATCCATACTTTTATATGCACAGACTCATGGATTAAATAAATCTAAAAGAGTTATCTGGAAATCAACTGGTCCAATTCTTTGTTCAAAGCAGTGTCCACCTTGGGGCTGAAGACAGATGCATCATTCAAGCTGGCTGAGAATGCTCAGGGTTTCTCATCCTGTTGAGTTCTAATTCTAAGAACAGAGACACCAAAGCCTCTCTGGGCAGCCTATCCCAATGTTAAATTTTTCTCATTGCAAATATTCCCCTCTCCCCCCAGTATCTAATCAGGATTCATCTTTTCGCCATTTTCATGCTCTCTTATTTATCTCACAGTTCTCAACTGAGAATCTGACCTGGGCATCTTCACACTTTCCCTTCAGGTAACTAAACACAGCAGTAAGATCTCCTGCTTCAGCCTTATCAAGAATCAACAAAACCAGCAGTCTCAACCCTCTTTTCTGTATCATGGGCCTCAACTCTCTAATCATCATGGCAACCTTCACTACAACCTTCACTATCTTGCTTTTCCTGTACCAGAAAGCCCAAAACTAGAACCATACACCAGATTTGGTCTCAAGTTTTACACAGAACTGCCTGCTACACATCCCCTAATGCAACCCAGGAACTAGTTAGCCTTCACATCTGATCTCCAAGGATCTCCCAGCCCTGGCAAGCAGTGCTGCTTCTCAGCTGAGACACTGCATGGGGCTGTTTGCTCCCAGGTGCAGAATTTCATGTTTGCCTTTACTCAACTCTAGAAGGCTCCCATAGGTCCGCTTCTCCAGCCTGTCAAGTCCCACAAACAGCAGCTCTGTCCTGCTGTGTGTTCCCCCACAATTTGGCAGCACCCACCAATCAGATGAAGCAGACCTCCTTCCACAACACCAAGACAGACATTAAACAGTATTAAACCCTGAGGAATGCTGGCAACCATTGGCCTCCAGGTGACCTTTGTGCTGCTGATAACAATCCTTCAAAAGCCTGACAGCTCAGCCAACTGCCCAAGTTCTACAATTTAACCAGCTAGGCTGCACCTCATCCATGCTCTGACAGACTGTGCTGAAGACCCTGCTTAGTTCAGATAAGCGATAATAACTGCTCTTCCCTTTGCCCATGGACACAGCCATCACTCTGAAAGCAGTCAAGCTGGACAGCTACAGTTTGTCCTTTGGAAATCTGTGCTGGCTTTTGCCAGCCACCTTCTAGTCCTTCACATGGCTGGATGTGAGGTCCAGGAAGATTTGCTGATCTTCTCTGAGACTAAGGAGAGGCTGACCACCTTCTAGTTTTACAGGAACCTCCTCATTAGTGTTGTTGAGTTTTTTCACCTCCACTCTCTGAACTTTAAACAGCCACTCCAAAAGCTGAGATTTAGAGACTAAAAAGAAAATAACACTTTAAAAAATGGATAGTCCACTCATCACAGTGGAGTTGGAAGAAGAGATCTGAAACTGAAGAAAGCCAGCTGGAACAGATATCTAGCTGCAAGTATTAAAATATGAATAGCAAAAAACCCACCAAAACCCACAACACCATTCTCTTACCTCTGCCATATCTTCAAAACAGCTGCCTACTAGTGGGTGAGGACTACCTTCATCTGTCATTTCAACAGTGTCCTCTATATGACCCAGTAACTTCACACTAAGTTCATGGATGTCTGATATACGACTAAATATATTTTCTACATCCTGCAACAAGACAAAACAGAAGTCAAATGTGTAAAGCTACTCTGTTCTGATGTGAAAGTCGAGAACTTCCTTAGAAAGAACAAGATTTTACAATCATTTTATAACATACTTTTTCTGTGATTTATGTCAGATCATAAAATGTATTTTAAAAATAATTAATATATAAAAACATATAAAATGTACATTATTGAAACATGGCAAAGAACAGTGAGAGATATTAAAATTGCAGGCCTGTAAGTGAACATAAGTAAATGAGAAGGTTTCTTCCACAGTCCTACAAGTAGAACCTGCAAGTGCTCTTTTACTATTTCCATATCAGAACTCAAGAAAAGTGTTTTTTCTACTGCTGATACATTAAACTCAACAACAGTTAAGTTTGGGAAGTATGCATCTATATTTACAGATATTATAGTAGGTGCCTTTTGTGTTTGTGGTTTGTACAATACTTACATGAGATGAAAACAGTTTGGAGTTGGAGGCATATGGCTCTCTAAAAACTCTGATAATGAGATTCAGTTCCCTTATATATTGCCGTACTTCTGCCATAAATGACTTCACTAGGTCATAATAGGTTTGCTCCCCTGAGGTGGAGGGTTCTTCATCAGATAAAGTTAGTGCACTTAAATCTTCTACATCTTGATGGAACATATCCATCAATACCTAGGCAGCAAAGAGAGGGAAATGAGAACCTCTTTTTGAGATTGACTAGTAAGTTACCAATAAAGAAAACCTATTATTCCCATGAAATCAGACTGATGATCAGTAAGATTTATGTATTATCATTCTGCAATCAGGTGAGTATTACAAAACCAACATCCATTGCTATGAATTTGCAAGTCATTATTTGCATGACAATTTCTGAAGACTCCCAGTCACTTAGACCAATCCAGGCATCTCTCCAAGAACGTGGTCCTAAAATCAATTACAATTTTAAAAGGTGAAGTACACAAAAAAAATTAGCATTTAGCTGTATTCTATTGCTCTGAATCAGCAGTGTGTGTGCATTTTGGCTTTTCAGCTTTAGGTTTACCAGGAACTCACACGTGATCATGCTCAGAACCCTGTGATCTACCTAAAATGAACACTGGCCTGTCCACAGAGTGCACATGGCCCAGTTTCTGTCCTTAACTGCTGAACTCTCTTGTTAAAATGAGCCGTTGAGAAAGGGCAGCAGTTTCATAAACCAGTCCTGTTGAAGAACTACACACATAACAGGAACTCTAAACATTCTGACTACCAGAGATCCCAAGTCATACCAAGCAAGGTTTACCACATACAAGCAATCAGTAATTTGAAGTTCTCAACAAAAGTGGATCACTGAACACTTCCTCCAAATGTGGTGTGTGAGCCAGGAGTCATTACAATGACTCTCTAAAAGCAGAAAAACACAGGACAGTTTGCATGAAGCCTGACTTCTGAAGGTCTAAGAACAGAAGGTGATTCAGGCTCCAGAGTCAGTGACTGTACAAAGAACTTGGGTTAAAATGAGAATCCTAACTAATTCTGGGGCATGGGACATTACAGCACCACTACTGTAGGAAATCACATGTAATAATCCAAGTAGTCAAGGAGACCCCACAATTTCTAACTTTCCTTCACCGATATAGTTCTAGCACACTGCTAGGGGATTCCAGGCTGTATTCACCAGGCCCATGTCTCACTACCAAGGAAAATTGGGCTGAGATGCTAAGGAGATAGGGGTTTGTTTGACCCATTGAAACACTACTTTTTACATGCAATACAGTCTTAAGTTAGTGCTGCTTCATAGTAATTTTTAAAGTATTCACATGTTGCTGACATTAGGCAGGCATAATCAAGAGAGAGATTTAATAAGCACAATCAAGAGCTTTATAAGCTCAATTAGCTTCCTGGTAGTTTTGTTCCATTACTGGAACTATATTTTATGACACTAATTTCTTCTTGGAAGATAAAATATTCCATGTACTCACTAAGAAAAAGACATCGTCCTCTCAAAGTTACCTACAGATTTAGTTGTTTATTAACTTGACAGACCAGAGTTAGGCTTACCTTATCAGCACACATTGCTACTTTAATATCTTGTTTTGTAATCTCATAATGTCTTATATTTCGCACATAATTCCCAACCAGTTTTAAGATGTCTGCAGAAATATATTCTAATACTGCTACTATGTAAACAGACACTTGGTGGTCAATTTTGTAGCCTAGAACTTCCTAAAAAGGGAGAAAAAAAAAGAAAACAAAAAAGCATCCCACTGTTATTCAATTGATGAAACAGACACTGTAGATGACAACTCAAACCAGTTAATAAGCTTAAGACCCTGCTCAATAAAGATTCACCACATATTCACAGCCTATTTTAGGAATTGAAACAAAGGAATGTGTAGGCCTAGAGAAAAAACTGTGACATTGCAGATGGTGCTCTATTAAATGTGGAAGTGCCAAGACCCAACTAACTGTCCCAAAAACCTCACCTAAACATTTAGGGCTATTTGCACAAGATTCTTGAGTGTTTTGTTAGTCACGGAAAACGAAACACAATCAAACTTATACAATGGGTTCTTGGCCTTGTTCATCAAGGAGAGAATTAAGTGATTTTTAACTCGGAAATAAGTATATTCCATTAACTGGAACACTTAGAACTATGCAACAAACACACATTTTCTTAACTCTTAGTTCACAGTTCAGGCAGCACACACAGACATTACATGAAACAAAGGGGTTGACCTCTAACTGCATTCTGAAAGCAAGATTCCATCACTGCTTACCTTTAACAAGGGATGGATTTTTTCTACTGGAAGAGATAATGGATTCCTTCGTTTCCTCTTCTCAATAGCAGACTGGGCATCAGCTATTGCCCACTTATCAATAGGATGGGGGAAACTTTTTTGAACACGATCCTTAAGACAAGAAAACATGACCAAGGAGTAAACGCACCATCTGAATGATCTCAGCAATGTAACTGTGTTATCAAACTGCTTTCTATTATTTAACAAAGAAATGGTTACTAATATTTGTATTTCAACTATAAAGGCTTATACAAGATGTGTAAATGTTATCATCTTGGTACATGCTGCTCACTACATTCGTAAGGCTGTTTCAGGGTATCGTTATCAGAGAATTATCTACTGCTCAAAACTTAAGAATTAAGCTGCAACTGAAGACAAAGTTTGCTCCCCTTGTGTCCATGCCTGGTAACAACATGACTACATACCCCACACTTTATTCCCTGCACAGGATGGTTGGTCACTGAATGAAATGATAACAAGCTTTCTGTTTTGCCTTTACTGATCAGCACATGGTCCACTCTGAACACACGCAAACTGCTCTGATGATGACAATGAACGTAACAGGAGAAGAAAATGTCCAACAGCACCCACATATTCTAAACCAGTTTCAGGCTACAGGTGGGCCAGATATGGCCCAGTTTACTTACTCCTTCCAGCAGTGCCTGAGGACATCTGCACACTCCCATGCATTAAACAACTCTCCAGCTAGAACTCACAAATAGGTCTCTGGACATTCATTTTTGTAGCCCTAGTATCCACAGATGCCAGAAATTTATTTTCTTACATAATTTCACATTTTATTTTTTCAGACCACAGTTCCCACTGACTGTTTCAGTTGAGAGTGCTCACATATGTAAACATGGTTCCTGTTTGAGTAACCATGAAATGAGGAAGACAAAGTTAATGACCACTTACAGAGGGCTGGCACCAGAAAAAGTACACAAACACAAACTTTCTAACAAAAAAATAGTGACAGAATACTATTCTATAGAGGTAATACACAATTTTTTGAAGTGTAGGCTTTTTTTTCCCCTCATAACACTTTTGCAAAAGGAAAGCAGAGGTCCTACCAAAAAAAGTCTGATTCTGGTCTAATACCAATTCACACTTCTAGTCTGCTGACTGAACAATGAAGGTGTCCCAGAGGAAAAAGGAATGTGTTCAACCATATAATTAAAAACAGCATCATTGTGCATGAACACCAAGGGGGTAAATGGCGGTTGCTTGATCATCTCTGCTTTTTGCATTTCTCCTGCCTTCACAACCATAAGACTCAAAATACAACACTTTGTGTCCAGGTTTTTGTCAGTGTTTAAAACAGCACTAAACCACTTTCCCCAAAGCTCTTGTCTCTTGAGCTGCCAGACCAGAATGATGTTGCAAAACAGGTCAGTATTAAAGTGGACACCGGAACACCACTGGAGGTGTCGGTGCTCAAAAGGGAAGAGGAAGGATGAAATTCATCAATCTTGAGCTCTAAGACAGCCACCTTTTTAAAGTTTTTTTGTCAGCAAGGTTTTATTTGCCAGTAGTCCACTTTCTCCAGAACGTGAGGAAGTCACTTGGACAGGCCCTGGCATCAAGCACTGGAAACCAACAGGCACACAGACTCTGTAGCCTGGCACCAAAATCTTTAAATCATGATAAGCACCAAGTGTTACCAAGGTATTCATGGCCCTACATATCTAAGTGATACAGCTTCACTAACTTGTTCCTCAGATGGAAAAACTCTTCAGCTCAATGTCTCTTCTTAAACATTAAGCTGCTCTGTTGAGCAGCAGAGGTTGTAGATCTTTGAAGGGGCAACTGTAAGAGATGAGGTCTCTCTACAGAGGAAAGAAGTGCTCCTAAACGCTTTCTAAAGAAGTGACTGACTGTTTTTGTTTTAATTTCTGGGACAGCAGGGGATATATCAACCTAAATTACCATGCTGATAAAGCAGCACAGAGCCTCAGACTAAGCAGTTGTAGTTTGCATACAATATCAGTGGGAAAAAAAGGTCTTTTGAAAGGAGCCAGTAAGCTTAATATGCAAAACTTACACTCACCATCTATTGAAAAGTACTACAGTTCACAGATAATTTTGCTGTGCATGGAACAACAAATTCAATTAATAGGAAAAGGAGCTATTAGGGAACTCAGTAAGCTTTATGCAGAAGGCTGTGCTACATAAAGATACATAATTACTGCTTTCCTTTTCTCATTGTGCAATGGTTAATATAGTAGCTTTCATGTAATAGTTCAAATTGTTTGCAATAACATTTGTAGTAAGTGTTCTCTATACCTCTACATCCAGAAAACTTCTTGGTTGAGCTTGACACAACATATTTAACAACTGAAGAATTAACTCCTCCACATACTGCAATGCATCTTCAGTAGAGGAAAGCTTAGGATGGACTTGCACCTGAACCTAAAAGAAAGAAGAATTCAAGATTTGACTTTTATTCTTCCCCAAACCACATGCTTTACTTGCAGAAAAAAAGATGACAAAACCCAAGCCAAACAGCCTAGAAAAATATAATAATGTAGCTCTGTTAAGGTCCATCAGGCAAACATGAGTGAAAGCCTCGCACCTTACAGAACTATAAATCTCAAATGCTTTATGTACTCAAATCATTATAAATTATATTTAATGTAAAGAAAATGTTTAATTAATAACTGTGCTTAGCAGTGCAATTGGGAAAACTTTTAAAGCCCTTGCATATACTTATCTCTCTCCACTAACTCTTTAACCACTGTTTCTGCAAGAGGCTTCAGCAGTGAGGGTTTTCTCCCTTTGACGCAATCCATAACAATGAAATACAGAATATTTTTCACAGAGCACACTACAGGAACAATGATTTCAGTAGCATTTATTATTTCAAATTATTGAATCCATGCTGAGTTAGTACGCATAAGATTCGCTTAGAAGTTTGTTTCTGTAGTGTTTTTTAAAAAATATGTCAGCCTCTACAGCAGGAAAAAAAAAAAAACCACTTCAAATAAGGCCACAGTGTTGTCCTGGCATTAAGTGGCAGCTGAGAGATTTTGAAAATTTGGTCCCATTATGTTTACCTGTATGTCATAAGTGTGTCTAATTTCTTGCTGGAGCAAATTCAACAAAGAACAATCCCCCTTACTCATTCAATTTTCTTTCCAGACAGTCATGTAACTTCTGAAACCTGAAGTATACTTTTCCTTTGCACTTCTGTTGCTCACAAATTAGCACAGTTTTAACCACCCTAAATTTCAGGTACAAAAAGCTCAGTGCTTCAGAATATAAACAAACAGTTTAATCTCAGTTCTACACCGGTGTCAAATACTGTGCCAGAGCAAGCTCACTGCTGACTTTCGCAATGCATCTGTCAAGCCCCAGTTTCATCATTTTACTGTTCCCCTGCACAAAACCCAAAATGCCTTCAGTTCTCTCAATCATTAACACGAGAGCCTAACAACTCTGAAGCAAAACCCAACAATCTGCCTCATCCAAATGTTAAACCCATGTCTATATTCATATAATGCTGCCATAATTGTTTAATTTCACACCTGAGTCTTAATTCCTGCTTGCAGTTATAGCAAGAACTAAATGTTATGAAGTTCAAACACACAACAGCATCAAACAGAAATCCACCTGCCTGCAAAGGCACTCATTAGCCTGGAAGCTTCATGTCTGGGCATAGTCCTGGTGCTCACTTAACTGCTGTTGAGATTCAAATACACTGGATCATGCATTTGGCTTCTTGCAGACTGCACACCCTTATTCAGCAGGTCTCAAAAAACACCTCCAGAAATCACTGCTTTTTAAACGTAAAAGCAGTCTGGGAAAAATAGAACAGAAGAACTTCTCTCCATTTGACTAGCTAACACAACTATTTTGATTATGCCAACAGTTTCACTTTTCCTAAGAACTTCGTTATGCACAGCTAGAGTGTTTGTGGACCTACACAAATAACAGCACACCAGGCAGACCCAAACATTATTTACAAATCAAACACTGACATCTGAAATACTGTACCAGCTTGGAACATCTTAACACCAGAAATTACAGACTTGCCAAAGTGATCTCTTAAAGAGCAGAGCTGATCTGAGCTGTCTGGAAGATGCTGCCTTTAATGTGCGCTTCTTTTAAAGCAGAACTGAACAGATTTGTATTACAGTGTCCCTGTATTATACTCCAGCACTCTGTACTTCAATAAGTGTTAAATTACCAAGCAAATTCAACAAAAATACAGAGCATGATGAACTGGAGTGATGAAGAGCAGCTCTATTTTCTCCTTTTCGTAGAAAACAGACCAGGCTTTAATCACCTCATTACAACTCCTTTGGTCTGTAACACACAGCCTATAAGAATAAGAACAAACAAACAAAAATACCACATCAGGCCATAACCTGAAACATTATCCACAGTCAGCCAAAACAGAGTCAACAATGATAACCTACTCTGAGTTCAGGAGATAAAAGTTTCATTTTCCCTAAGCATTTCTGTCTGGGGACAATGACAACATCCTTCTCAAACGCTACTGCCCAGCTCCACTTTAACAGAACATCCACCTTGGCAGAAGAAAACATCATGAGTTGCCACTGGCTTGCCAGCACTGCTTATCTATATTAAGTAGAAGGTAAATAACCTTCATTGCTACGTGACACTTAGTATCAGTTAGGGTTCAAAGTCATACAAGCAAACAAAAGAAAACAACCAGACTAACAAGGAAAAGTACAGCATGGTTTGGTGCGCAAGTTATCACAGAAATGTGTAATTTCAGTATCTGCACTACCACAGTACCCAAAGGCTCAGACTGAGAATGACAGTGTTATTTGAGTGTACTTGGTGCAAATCCCAAGTCCATTTTCTAAGACATGATGCAAGACTGGGTAAGATGAAAGATTTAGTAGAAGACAAGAAATGGGAACATCTGTTAGCATAAACCATCACATGATTAGTATAAAGAAAAGAGAAGATCGAACTACCAGGGGCTTTCCATCTTTCTCATAAAGTCATCTCAGATTTTAAATTAAAAAGCCTGGGCCACCCCGCCTTATCACCCTTGAAAAGGAGTATGGCTTGAATCCCACCAAATCCTTCAATCCCACTTAGGAAAACACATGATAAAAACAGACTAACAACTTCTGAAGTGTGATGTTTAGATCAGATTCTTATCTAAACACTTAACCTCTCCCTTAAATAATGACAGAACCATTCCCTTCCCTCCTACACACACAATAAAATGTCTATCTTATGATAAAGGAAATTACTAAAAAAGCAGTTTAGAAACTTTTCAAAGAAGCTTCAAATCTTCAAAATACCCCATAAATTCCAAAGGGCAAATATAACCTACATCAGCTACTAATCCCTGCCACCATGGCTGTTTTCACCCAACTCGTGTATTCACTTTTTTGAATAGCCAATCTTCTTAATCTTTCCTAATTCTTAGAAGAGAAATAGCCAGAGTTTTCTTTATTTAAATATAAGCAGAGCCAGCATTTCTTGAACAGCTTTTCAGGATCTGCTTAAGATCAGCAGAGACAAACAGTGCCTGCTTAAAAAAAACCAAAAAAAACCAAACAAAACAAAACAACAAAAACAAAACAAAACAAAAAACCACAGAAAAACCCCACAAACTAATTAAAAGAAAATTCTACAATATGAACACTTGGCTTCTTTTCCCCCATCTTTTTTGTCCTCTTCCCTTAAAATCCACAAAAGCAAGGAACTTCTATCAGGAACAGCAAGAGCTTAAAAATTAGGCAGCCATAAATCTAAACTAGCAGAAATAGTCAATGAAATCAACAATAAAGAAGGAAGTGATTAATGTATAATACAAATATAGCTGATCTTTACTTAATAACCTATAGCAGCTTATTTTACATAAAATCTTCTCAAACCATTTTTTTACAAACTCTCCATAATAACTTAGAATATAAACATTCCCACAAGCCTCATGGGGAGCAGTAGGAACTTTAAACCAAACCCTGAGAAATGTTTCATTTAAAGTACTCCAGATCTAACTGCTTCGGGTTAGACAAGAGGCTTGGTCCCCCAACAGGTCCAACACAACAACTCCAAGCTTGATCACAAGATGACCCAAACCCCAGTCTAGAGTGACATTCAACAGTTTGTTCTGCACTAGAAAGAGGTGTTTGATAATAGAAAAGGAATGAAGACACAGTGAATTTAACAATCGGAGTGATACATCCTCAGCAACAGTTTTCAGTTACCTCTTCCTCAGTGACCATGAGAAAAAGCCCAACAGGTTGCTTGTAAGCTGAAAATTTTCAATTCAAGATGAAAAACCTGTCTCCAAAAGACTTCTTAAAGCAACTTCACATAGCTTACATGAACACCAGCTTTATGCTCCAAAATCATCATTAACAATCACCACAATCAGGCTCACAGGTGTTCTGTTAAGTACAGAACACACCAGGCAAATCCTGCAGCTTCAGAGAACAATACCGGACCTGAGTCCATCAGGAGCAGCAGAAGCTCCAGCAGCTTCAGAAAATGGCATAACAAAAGAAAACACTTCTAAAGGAATTCTAAAAGAAATAATTCTAAAGCTATGTAACAAACTGAAATAAAAATGAAGCATCAACTGCAGGTAATCATTTCATAACTGGGCAAGACTATCCCTGTACTGCAAGAAATCATATCATGAACCAAAAACCAACTCCTGTGAAGAACAACTGTATTTCACTGCTGAGCATGGGCTGTGCTGTCAGTCTGCCCTGGTGACAGCTGAAGGGCTTGTAAAAAAGGGTCTAAAGGGAAAAAAGCATTGTATTTACCACATCATACTAATCATGGAAGGAGTTCTATAATGAGATAACATGCCAAGCCACCCTCCAAAGCATTATCAGAGAAGGTAACACTTTAATGACTGCAAGTAGTTCTAAACTGGAATTTTTCTAAACCTTTGGATATGGATTATTAGTAGAAATAATCCATCACAGAAACAAACTTGGCAACAGAGGAGATCATTCTGGCAAGAATTTTCTTCAATTCAGCACCTTTGAAAGTCTTCACTAATGCTGTAACTCTCATTTTTACTCAACACATGCTTTATTTTCCCTCAATGACTAAAAAACCACTAACAAGCTTACCACTAAACACTCCAGGACAAAGTACTTTATGTACATCTTGCATGGATGAGTGTTCTTATACAGTCAGCACTCCTTAAAAAGCTTTTTCTTCTATTCTTGTACATCTCTGCTGATATTTGGTAACCCTGACCATGTTTTGTTACCTTGATCAATTAAAAATACAGGAAATTAAGTCAAATAGAAATGTCTAGGGTGCACTCTTCAGCAGCAATTCACCAAGGATGAAGGACTTGGATTGTTGCTAACGTTTCTGCTGATGTCTCAAATGGGCAGCAGTATTACACTGCTCCACCGAGCAGGTGAAAAAAGTCATGCAGTGAAGACTTCAGCTGTAGGAGGTTCTTAGTTTCATCCTCCACAGCCATCAGAAGAACAGACGACACAAAGTGACCAGAAATTAAGAAAGTTCAACATCTTGTGTGAAGCAATGCTAAGAGTAAGGACTGCCATTCTGAGTAGCATGTGGCAACTGGTTTGTCACTAATTTCAAGAGCCAGGTAATTAAAAATCAGGTAGAAATATCTTTGTTAACAGCAGCTTCCTGAGAACTCTGTAGTGACTGAAGCAGCTTTTCCCATGTCTTTTGCTCCACGAGAGGTCCAGATGACACATGGAGTCCCTGGAAGCATGCTGTCAGGAACAGTTTCCTTAACTGAGGAAGCAAATCCCTTCAGCTGCCAAGCCACACCAGTCCAATCATTCTGACCACAACAAATTCCAGCAGTACCCCTGGTCAATTGCTCAACTGATTCAAAACAACTTGAGGTATGCAAGGAGCAGAACATTCTTTTGTTTTTCTCCATCATCAAATGGCTTAAGGTATCCATCAGTAACGATGACAAGCTTCCTACTGCAAAACCAATGGACCAGGGAACAAGTGCATCATACATGTGCAGAGAAATTCTGACTGCATGAACAACTTACACCCACAGGATGAAGCCATAAGGAATGATGTTCAAGAAAAACTATTCAGAATAAAGTGTGTAAATTCACTAGCAGAGGACACCAGTGCTGGAAGAGGCATCACATGGCAGGTGTCACTCCTTTGTTTTCCAATGCGGGCTGCATTAAAAGCTGTGTATCTCTGTCTCCAGGTACCCGAGACCTCTGGTGTTTCAAATGTCTTGGATCCTTCATCTTCAGCATCTCACCTTCTTTCCATCCTTGCAACTACAATTTCAGTCACCTGTTGTTATTCCTTCTTCCTTCCTTCCTTTTCTTGTACCTCATCACCATGATTATTGCCTTTCGCCTGCAAACAAAGATCCCTGCAACACTCCTCTTTTGCAGCTTCAAAATAACTGTGTCCAGGCAGAGAAGAATCTCAGCTGACATAATTTTCTTCCTAATTGAGTGCACTGGAGTCTATCTTGACAGCATCTGAAGAAGAATCAGAAGACAAGGGATTACATTATGATCTCAGTGGTACAAGAACTGCGCTTTGCAAATGCAGCTGTTCAAAGCAAATGCAGCTCTACTGCTAAGGTTCATGTCTAATGAAACACAAGGCATGGTCTCCTCTAAGAATTGCCTGATGTGGGAAGAGATTTATTCTTACTCTATGTTCTTGGGTTTGCTGCTTGATTAAAAATAGAATCAAAATAATCCACTGGGAAAAAGAAAGCTATCTGCAATGATTCAACAACACCCATTTTTTAAGAAAGCGGTCCCAAGGCTGTAGTTTGAGCACTGCATTAGAAGCCAACTCACAGTTACAAAAGGGCAATGGCATTTTAATGATTCAGTCCACGTGTGGCAGCTTTCCCTGAAAGCTGCAAACACTCCATCCTGGAATATGTGCTCTTACAATGTTAACTTAAATGCCACTTTCCTCAATGGACCTATTAATTCAACACAGGTCTCCACAAACTGTTAAGTCTAATTTCCAGCTGTGCAGGAAATAATCACAATTGTCCCTCTACAACCACCTGGTTTCAGGTAGAGTTCAGCTCCTGTCACTACCTAAGAATGAGTGTCAGCATCTGGTCAGCTAAGGGAGAATTGAAGGAAACGTTCTCCTCTAGCAACAGTGGGACATATGTGAGCTTCCAAAAATACGACTCCTACTGAGACAGCAATGCTCTGGCAATTCAGCAAAGTCACCAGGACAGTCCTGCTCTTTGACCCCATTGGGAAATGCTGCCACCCTCTCCACTTCACCCACGTGCTGGCCTGCAGGTGCAGCTCAGGGCTTTGGTGAGCTACCCCAGGGATCAGTGACTGCAATGCTGCACTGTTGCACCCGCCTTGTGAACCGCGGCAGACAACTGAACCCCTCACGACAAACTCATGCCACCCGTGACAGGTTCACTACTTCAGAGGCCTTTATCAGGGCAAAACACCCTACTCAAAACTATCTGTACCTCTCTCACGTTAGGAAAATACACAATATGGTTTGTCCATTAATGAAAAAGACAACAAGATAATAATTTAAAATTTTCATCTGCCGTTTAGTTTTGCTGTAACTCAAGTATCTGGCTCTTCAGTAAAGCTGGTGACAATCAAGACAGATTCTTTATTTCCATCTTTACAAAAACAGCAATAGTAAGCAGCAACAGTCTGAGAGAAGGTAAGAAGCTGGCAATCTCATGAAAAGCTGAAGTCAAAAGAGCAAACACCTGCCAGACAATTACAAGTTTCAGTGTGAAGCCTTCAGAACTAACTCCACCTGCCTCCTGTCACCCCTCTACACACAAAGAGAAACAGAGCAGACAAAACCAATACAACTCTACCTTGTAGGGCCAGCCTGTCATCCTTGGTAGCTTGTCCTCGTTGGCCTTCTCCTCAGATTCCAAAATTCCTTTTCCCACTGCAGAATTCATCCAACGCCTTCAAGAATCATCTTTAAAGCAGGGTGACTTCATGAATGGCTTGTCCGCTAGGAAGAAATCTGGCACTTCAGATGTCACAAGTTATCCCAAAGTTTTAATGTTTGCTTGCTTTGAATCCTCGCTCTGTGTACTCCAGTTGTCAGCACTGAGACTCCTTTCAAATCTGACAAACATTTGTTGCGCCATGGAATAAACCATCCTCCAAAGGAACAAGCTCTCTGTGGCTGGGACGTTGGGTAGCTCCAGTTTCAAGCAGGCTTCATTCAGCTGGATGGGTGTCCAAGTGCTCACAAGCACCATAAGTGAGCTGTGTTAGTGCTGAAGTTTCAAGGAAGTTACTATCCAGGGATAAGACATTAACAGGACGCGCTACAGATGAGACAAGTAAAAAGACTTCCCAGAACTGGGCAAAGCCACACAATGCTGCAGACCTCAAAGAGCATGCCCAGAGAAGAGAGGCAGTACATTGCAAGGGGGAATTAGGAAGAAATACTGCACAGTAGAGCTGCAGCACCCGAGAACCTCTCAACCAGCCCAAGGAAGGAGCCTTTCAGGCAAAAGTTGCAGTGAATCGCTGTTAACTAGACAGTAACTCAGAAAGTATTGCCGTGCAGGACTAAACCACGTGAAGTTCTGCAATCTGAAGCCAGTTCAAATAACAGTGTCAGAAAATTTGTTTCTTAAGCCTTGCACTTTCTGGGTTCAGGATGGAAGAGGAGGCCTGACCATTTTTCCTCTCTTCCGAATAAATTCTTTCCATGCCATAGGCACAAGCCTCACCGTCCTGAGGGAGCAAGACTTGCTCGTTTGTCCTGATTAAGCCTTCTCAGCAAAAAGGCATTTAAACTACGAGAAGGTTAACTAAAAGCCATTAGGCACGAACACTAATTAACGAAAATTCTCTCAGGAGCTGCTCATAAAAATCCCCCCGTCACACGGTGTTTATTTACAGGGCTCGGTCTGTCAGAGCATCGCCCCGGCGCGGAGGGGCCCAGCAGCACCGCGGCAGCCGCCTGCGCCGCGGGACGGCGCTGACCGAGCCCCGTTAGCCCGGAGCCGCTCCCGGAGCGCGGGGAGCGGCCCCGCGGCGCGCCCGGCGCCCAGCCCGATCCCCGGCCGGGCCCCCGGGGCGCGGGCACCCGGCGGCCCCTCACCTTCTTGAGGGCGGGCACCAGCAGCCCCCGCCACTTAGGCGCGTTCTCCTCGCTGAAGAACTCGTAGAGCAGCGGCTGCGCCTGCATGGTGCCGCCGGGGCGGGCCGGGAGCCGCGCGGGAGGCCCGGCGGCGCTCAGCGGGGCCCGCGGCGCTCCCCCGCCGCCGGCGGGGGCGGCAGGCCCGCAGCGGCGGGGGGGGGCGGCGGCTGCCGCATTCCCCGCCCCGGCCGGCGGGGGCGGCGGGGGGAGGCGCGCGGCGCGGCGGGGGTCGCGCGCGGGCCGCGAGGGGCGGGGTCGGAGCGCGAGCGCCGCCGCCTCCCCGGTCCCGTCCTCGCCCGCTCCGTCGGCGGCCGCGGCGCATGCGCGGAGCGGCGGCGCCCCGCGCCTGCGCCCCGCCACGCGCGGCCGCGGCCTTCCTGGCGGAAGTGGCCGGCCCGCCGCACGCGCCCCCCGCCGGCGGGAGGGCGAATGGCCGCTGCTGGAATCGCCGGGAGTGCGGGGTACGGGGATGGATCGGGCTGGGACACGGGGATGGATCGATGGATCGGGCTGGGACACGCGGGATGGCTTCAGCTGAGACAAGAAATTGGACAAATATTCCCGAAGACCTTGTGTGGATGGACGAGGAACTCCTGGACAAGCTTAGACACTAAAAGGAGGCCTATGGAGGGTGGAAGCAGGAGCTGGCAGGAATACAGAGAGGTCGTCCGAGCAGCCAGGGATCAGGTTAAAAGCTCTGAGAGAATTAAGCATCAAGGACAAGCAGAAAAGCTTCTGCAGGTATGTGGGTGATAACAAGGAACACTAGGGAAAATGAGGCCCTCTCTGGACAAAGACTGAGGTGCTCAATTACGTTTTTGCCCCTGTCTCCACCAGGATGTGCTCCAGCCACACTGCCCAAGCTGCAGAAGGGAAAGGCATGGCCTGGGAGACAGAAGAATCACCTGCTGGAGAAGATGGGGTTCAAGGCCATCTAAAGCACCTGAAAGTGCACAAGTCCATGCAACCTGATGAGATGTATCCGCACATCCTAAAGGAACTGCTGTCTCCCTCCTCAGACAAATTTCTCCAACTTCTACACCATTCATAGATGACACAGGCCTTCCTGCATTGTAGGTGTGTTTTCTTGGAGGGAAGCAAGAGGTTTGGGCACACTCCCTATTTTTGCCAGCTATTTTTCCATGCAATCTTCGAGGTTGGAGAGCAGCATGGGAAAAGCAGAGCTGTTGAGATTGTACCACTAGACTGGGAACATGCCTACCCTAGCACAATGCTCCCTTCTTCCCACCTGCCGCTGCTCTGTCCTCTTTATTTTTGGCCCTTCCAGCTGCATTCCTGCATGCATGCTCACACCAAAAATGCTCAAGGACAGTAAAAACTAATAGCCCTTAACCTCTGGTGCCTATAATTCAACAATGGCCTGAGGAACCCGGCCCCAGCTGCTAGAGAACCGCCCCAGGAGGAAGCACATTCACGGCACATCAGCTGTAGTGCACTTTGCCAAATCGGAGTGACTTCTGCACGTCCAAGTGAGGAACAGCCCACAGGAGGCAGGATGGAAATCGCCCTTGGGGATTTCACAAGGGTGCTGTGATACACAACTCAGCTTTTCTGAGAATTCAGCTGCTCAGCAGTGAGGTTTGTGCCTCCACCTCTTCCCCCACAGGGTGAACCGAGGCTTAGGACAAGGAACAACCATGATGGGGCTGGCAGAAGCAGTGAGCTTGAGGCCCACAGGCAGAAAATAAACCTGCTGAAAAAAAGAATAAATTGGCTTTGCAATCAACAGAGGTGGAAGAGCAGGAAATGGAGGGAATTTCTTCCACGCAAGGTGGAGTTTGGAAAGACTTAGCTCAAATCTACACGTCCACTGCCCAAAGGCCAAAAGTGTATTGATGCCAACCCAAATTGAGTGGAACTCCAGCAACCTCTGTTCATACATTCAGAGACGCCCAGCTTCTGTGTTTGGCACAACCATTTAATCGCAGAATTGAAAACTCAGTATGTTCCATTTTAGTCTTATGTGGAAAATCAGTGCAGGTGATAATCTAATTGTACAACAACATGTTAAAAAATTTATTTTACATTATATACATTAGGGAACATATTTCAAAGCATTACCCATCACAACAATAACGCAGGCCATAAATCACTTTTAATTTAGTTTGGTTTTAGTGTATATTATCACAATAAAATATAAAGAACATATACAAAAAAAGGAGTCAAATGTGTGCATTTTCCTTAAAACTTGGCATTTACACACTCCATTGGAAAATAGCAATCAAAAATACTTCTGATCAAAACTAAGTTCCCGTGATGCGTAGTAACCATTGTATTGTTTCAATGAGGTAGTAACTAAATTTTGGCCATGTGTTAACATCCTAAAATCAAGAAAAGTGTGAAAATGGTTATAAGGCCAAAAACAAAAAGTCAAAATGGCAACATCTCTGAGCCATTTCCACAATGTGGAATGTTGCTCCTTTTCATCGTGATATGAAACTATTTAGTAAGACAAATAGTAATAACTACTTTTTATCATTGTATACACTAATAATTCAAAAACTATTGCAGAATTACAGTCAGGTACCACTAGTCTGGGACTGACACCCATCCATAAGGTATTGTTTTCAAGCATAGAGAAGTAATCATAAGGAAAGTTTTAATTAAATATAAAAATACAGATGTTTAACTGGTTTGTTTCACAAAGGAATCTACCCAAATAAACAAAAAAAAAAAAAAAGAGGAACTCTGAAGCCCAAGTCATATCCACAAAGTCACAGCTTACCTTTGTGACTAAATACATCACATCTCAATACATTGTGCAAACATGAACACCAGTGTGTTGTATTGAAATTAAAACAAGATTGTAATCTGATTACAGCCTTGGTTACAATTTCTAAAAGTTAATATTTGTATTAGTAAATTACATATAATAAAATACAATAGTGTTGCTAAATGTACTATTTTTGTTGCTAGAATCCCACTTTATAATAAACACATGAGACATCCTTATAATAGTACCCCAATTTAATTTCTGCATCCTCAGTGACTTTTACATCTGTACAGATAAGACACTTGTACTTAACAGGAGGACCTCTATCTACAGAAAGTCAGTGTAGGGCTTCAGCAAGAAGTTTCACTGAAAAATACTGCATATGTACAAAGATTACATAACAGCAAATTAAGCACTTCTGTGGTATCATAATGCTGTGTCCATACCACAAACAATTCTCGTCTTCCTCTCATGCCATAATAAATTATAAGTAACTGAAGTGGGGTTACTGCAGCTTTTGTGCAATTCCAGCCAGTCACGAGTGCTGCTGCAGCAGGAGCGCTCTCCTGACAGCGAGCTGCCTGCCACGTGCTGCTCTCAGTAGCTGTTCTCATGCCCTGCCAGGATATACAGATTGCTGTTGGCTGTCGGGTTGTCCGTGGGCCTGCTCTCCAGCACCACGACCCTAAAATGGAAATTTAAAAAGCCACAACGTCAAGTGATCCTTCATTTAAAAACAACCCTGGGTTTAATTAAATATTCTTTCCTAGGATCCATCTGACTCATTATTTCCTTTTCCCTGGATGCCTTTAGTCCAAAAGCCCCTCAAATCAATGCCAACCAAAAGCAAGCTCATGGTTTACTGCAAGCAGTGTAAGACAGAGGCAAAGTTAAAGCCTATCTCTGCAGTTCTTGTCAGTTCATTACTGGTGAACTGTCATATCAGTATGCACTCCCCTGAAGACAAAACAGCTGCTGCTTCTGTGGCTCTTACACAAGCACAAAGTTCAACACCAGGGCAGAGAAAGCTGATGAAGTCAGTGACACTCCTAAAACAGCACTTGGGTCACACAGAGAGGTTCCAAAAGCAGATGCCAAGGAACAGCTACACCAGGAGCTATCAAGAGTGCCTACAAGACCTGGACTGTCATGTTGGGAGAAGAACTGGTAGATTTCCTTTCTGGGGTAAAAGTGAGATACTTGAATTTTTAAAGTATTTTATTGCATTTATCTCCAGAAGCAGATTTTCATGAGCTACTGCTGCAGAACATCTGAAAATAAAGATTTCACCAAGTTAAAAGAATTCCAATTCAAAAAGGAAAACAATCCTGGAGATTGTGTCTGCAGCCAAGTAAGAGTTTCTTGCATGGTTGTGTACTTCTGGAAGCTCACAAACACTTCTAAAAATTTTTAATTTTTTAAATTTAAGAAAGAGAAAAGTAAAAGTAAAGAACTGAAAGGTAGACATGTACATAAAGGAATGTCTAAGATGCCTAAAAAAGAATTTGCAAGAAACATGCAAAAATAACTTTTATAAGGTAGGAGAACACACATTATTCTTTTATTTTAGTATGTCCTGTTTACTTCCCACCTTACCTGTCAGATCCCAGAAGCCTGAATATCCTTGTATTATCAGAAATTTCTTGTGTGATCTAGACAATAAAAATAAATATTTACATGTTAAGAACACAAATGTTTTCATTTTGTTTTAAACATTAATCAAGAGAAAATAATTAACTGTGACTGATGTTACCGATTACCAATTAAAATCCAATAGAGATTATAATGCAACTGTCACTTTTAGCTAAGATACAAAAGTTTTTTCTAATTCCTCCCACATTACATGAATTCCTCTGGTAGCCACTGCAAGCACAATAGCAGGGCTCAGCTTGGTACTTGAGTTACCAGTCAAATTCTCTTTATAGCCATGGCTGAAAGACACAGGGCACAATTTTTGTCACTCTAGAGTGTATATACAAAAATGGGTCAAGCAAATCACAGATAAAACACATTTTGTTTAAATGCTGAATTATATTAAGTATGCACTACATTCATATTCTGAAAATCTTAGCAGAGAAACAATCTAATCTGTCATACTTATGCCCACTGCAAAAAGAAAACTTCATCTTTTGACATTTCAGACAAGTGCAACACACCTGTGTGTTCTGTTGGCGAATTGTACTTGTGTGATACATGTTTATGATCATATGAATACCAGACCACCCAAAAAATTGCCATGCTCATCAGTGAAGTCAACCAAAGCCCAGTGCACACTCCAAAGGGGTATTTGCTCATTTTGTGATCAGGCAGCACTGTTTACAAAGCTCCTCTTCTACACAGCCAAATTTTACACTTGGGGAAATTAGACATTCTCATCTCCTTCCCAGACCCTAGTAATGTTAGCTGACTTACTGAATTCACTTCTGGTGCAGAGAATTTGCAAGAGAATTTTAATTCGCAGCAATGAAATCCTTCACTTTTCTAAGAAAATTAATTTCTGCTTTCTGTGAGGCTAAGGCTGTACAATCTTTGCCCAATTTTGTACTTCTTGTGTCAGAATTCACAGTTCCCTCTTTAATTTTTAACACTTGATCAAATCATGGTGTAAGGTCACAATTGTGGAAGGAAAAAACTTTGCAAGTAGCTCAAGTCATCCCCACTTAGGCCAACTGTATTAGAATAGGGAAACTGAACTAATGATGTCTTAAAAGAAAAAAATGCTGCAAGTTAGTCAGCTTTTTGTCCCATGCAACAACTTCCTACCTATTATATAGAACAAAATTCCCCCCAAAGTAACAAATATGGTCAAGACCTGAGCCTGGCACTAGAGGCTTTCATATTACAGCAGAAAATATGTTTGTTTCTTTTAACAGCTGCAGCTAGTGGGACAGCTAGGAGAGATAAGGGATTTTAAAAGGCCCAAAAGCTTACCCTAGATGTGTTCTACAGAGAAGAAGTTTTAGGTGGCTTGCTTTTCTGTTAACAACCCAGTTCTGCTTTCAGTTCTTCATTTAGGTTCTGGCTTTGGCTTGACAGCAACAAAGCAAGCCAGTGTCCCTGATGCTTTACATAAACAACAAAATGCATCCATTTGGGCTGCAGCACACTGGAACATGGCCCCTCCCAGCTGGAGCAGAGCCGCTGAGTGCTCTACCAATGGGTAGAGCATTGCACAAATGCCACAATAAACATTTGCACCTTGGAAATAAGAAGCAGTCTGACTCCAGCCTTTGGTTCACACAGAGTAGGCTCACTGTTAGCATAGACTGGGTCAACTGACGCTTTGTGCAAATCAATGTAGTGCTGGAACAATGTGAGATATCTAAGCTTGGTGTGGTGTGGCTGTATGTGTACTTTAAACATAATGAGCTCAATTTCTCAGCCAATGAAATACTGATGGAATAAGTGGCAATGTTTGTAAATAGTCATTAATAATCAAATTAAAAGACTCATTAAATTCCTACAAAGTCCAGCATTTTCACTAACAAGTACACAGGGTTTGCACCAAGGGAAAATAAAAACTATTTGGGAAGGTAGTTATAATGGTTTAACTCTGTCTAAAAATCACATCAAATGGACTGAAAAAAGTGATTACAAGGAGATTTTATGAAAAAAACCAAACCAACCATGTTTAAGTCAATCTGGTATTTTTCTACTGAAGGTGGAAAAAATATTTCTTGTGTAAGCTGGGCAAAGTATTTTTAGCCAAGAGAACATGGCAGAGACTAAAAAACATCAGGCACCTCATTTGACACTGTGATAAAAAGCTGAAAGGTGAAGATTAATAACACCAAGAATTAGACTTGGGTATTTTCTATGGCATCCTGGCCTGGTCTCATTTCTGCTTTGCTTGTCAAATGTGAGGGAGTTCTTGTACAGCTCCACCAATGCTTTATTGCTTCTGAAACAAGCCTAGAATGAGACTCCAGCTGCTAGGTCTAACCCAGGAAGTTACTGAAATGTTTCATTTTTTTTCAGACAACAGCATTGTGTAATTCTCCTCCACGTGGCTTACATTAGAAGCCAGAATTTGAAGCAAAATGTAGTACTCACCTCATTTGATCTAAAACTCCTTCCTTGCATGCCGTGTTTCCAGAATGCTAACACACTGTCTTGTAGACAGACTGGCAAGAAAGAACACTGGAATCAGTTTTGAGGCATAAACTCAACTCTTGCTTTTAAAGGCCAAAAGCACAAGACTAAAGTTTTGAAATCTGTACATGTATGTTCCATTGTATAATATACACCCACTCAGACTGCAGAATGTCTCCCAGGAATCACCAAACCTGCCTCAAAAGTAGCTGCATTTATATATTTATTTGTTTAATGAGCAAGGTTTAAAAACATTTCCATATGACCAGAAAATATTCTAAATGTCTAGTCCTAGATGTGTCATTTTCTTTGAACAGGAAATCCCTTTAATTTACTTGCAGACAGTATATATGGAA